TCATATTAAAAATTTCTACCAATCTAATGGTTGCAAACTATGCAATTTCTGTTTTAACTTGGATTTCCCTAGTTATGTGTGAGGTTGAGCATATTTTCACGTGTTTATGGCCATCAAGGTTTCCTCTCCTTTGAATAACCTGGACTAATCCTTTGCTCATTTTTTTCTATTGGAGTTTTGCCTTTGTCTTATTGATAAAACTTTATATTATATATTTCAGGACATTAATCCTTGTTAGTTAAATAAGATTCAAATATCTTTTCTCATTTTACTTATCTTTTAATGTTTTAATGCTCTCTTTCACCTTCAGAAGCTTTAAATTTTTATGTAATCAAGTTTACAAATATTCCCTATGAGATTACTGCTTTTTCATCTTGGTTTTTAAAGTATTTTTTTAACTACAAAGATTTAAAGAGAATCTCCCATATTTTAGTCTAATAATTGTAAAGGTCTGTTCTTTATATTCAAGACTTTGAGACATCTGGAATTTACTTTTATGTATGGTGCGAGGTATGGATCTAATTTAATTTTTTCCATATGAAAGTTAATTGTCTCAATACCATATATTGAATATTCCATTCATCCTTTACTGAATCCACTTTTAAAATACCCAGGGCAGCCTGGGTGGCTCAGTGGTTTGGCGCCATCTTTGGTCCAGGTCTTGATCTGGAGACCCGGAATCGAGTCCCACATCGGGCTCCCTGCGTGGAGCCTGCTTCTCCCTCTGCCTATGTCTCTGCCTCTCTCTTTCTCTCTGTGTCTCTCATGAATGAATAAAATCTTTAAAAATAAAATAAAATACTCAGACCTACTGTGTGTTAGACATTGTTCTAGGCATTTTTAGTACAGTATTAAAAACAAATAGGGGCATCTGGGTGGCTCAGTTGGTTAAGCATTTGGTTCTTGATTTTAGCTCAGGTCATGATCTCAGGATTCTGGGATGGAGCGCCACATTGGGCTCTGTGCTCAGCAGGGAGTCTGCTTGAGAATCTCTCCCTCTTCCTCTGCCCTTCCCCCCACTCATCCACACATAAATCCTAAAAAAAAGACAAAATCCTAAAAAAGTACTAAAAAAACCCCAAAATATTACTATTGATATGGTGAACTGTATTTCATTAAAGCTGCTAGAATATGTCTGCCCTTGCAGAGCTTATATTCTACTTGGCAAGATATTTTAAAAAAAATAATAAATAGGTATATTATATAGTATGTTGGAAGATGATAAACGTTATGGAAAAAATAGAGCAGGATAAAGGAAATTGGGAATGCTTCCTTGAGAGGGAAAGTTCTAACTTTAAATAGAATGGTCTGCGTGGGTCTTGTTTTTTGTTTGTTTTTAAAAGATTGTATTCACTTGTTCATGAGAGACACAGAGAGAAAGGCAGGGACATAGGAAGAGGGAGAAGCAGGCTCCCCTTGGGAAGCTGGATGCGGGACTAAATCCTAGGACCCTGGGATCACGACCTGAGCCAAAGACTGATGCTCAACCACTGACCCACCCAGGTGCCCCTTGGATGGGTCTTGTTGAAGAGTTGCTATTTGGGCAAAGATTTGACAGAAGTGAAGGAGTTGCTATGTGAATATTTGAGGGGAAAATAAAAACTAATACTTGTATCATATATATTATATGCCAGGGTTTGTTCTAAGCACTTTACATATATTTACTCCTTTAACCCTTACAATGACAGATATTTCACTACAACTGATATTTATGAATTTCACAAAAATTTCTCTTGTGGTTTTTACTGGATTTTCTTCATAAATATAGATTACTTTGGGGGAGGGCTACTACCCTTACAACATTGCATCTTGCCATCCAGAAGCATGGTCTGGTTCTGTTATGTTTCCGTTTCTGTTTGTTTCTGTTTCTCTTATGTTCTTCAATCATTTTATGATTTTCTCAATAAAGATCCTACACGTATTTGTTGGATTTATTCCTGTGGTCCCTGTAAACAATTTGTATATATTTTCAACTTTGCTGCCTGTTGCTTACCCTGCCCCACCCTAGATCCTACTCTCTGTGTTTTTGATAGGTAATGTGCTCTAGTGATTGTATGTGTATGTGTGATGTTAATCAGCTGAGTTTGATTAACCCAAACCACAACCTATCAAGAACAATCTAAGCCCTTCCCTTTCATGATTTTTTCAAGATACATATTCTTTTTTAAAAAAAGGTTTTATTTATTCATGAGAGACAGAGAGAGAGAGGCAGAGACAGAAGCAGACTCCATGCAGGGAGCCCGACGTGGGACTTGATCCTGGGACTCCAGGATTACGCCCTGGGCTGAAGGCAGGCGCTAAACCGCTGAGCCACCCAGGGATCCCCCAAGATACATATTCTTGTCCTGCCTCCTCAATAAGTCTTCAAGCTCCTCAGGGGCAGTGAGTGTGAGCACATCGGAATTATTCCAAAAGGTCTTACTGCCACTTTTCCCACAATGGGGTTGCTGTCCTTTTTCTTTGATCTCTTCACTCCATTAAGCCCTCAACCATGATTCTCCCTTGATCTTCAAAGTTGACTTCCACACATAAAGATGCACTTTCTCCCTGGACTTGTGCCTGAGCTCTTCTTTTCTGCCAGTTATTCTTCTCCTTTGAGAAAGTAGGAGAAAACTCCTGACGAGTAGCTGAGAGTTCTTTGAGAGGAAATATGTTTGCAAGATGATCTAACTCAGTTTTTGCAAAAGGTTTATCCATGAAACATTAGTCTGTGAGAAGAAAAAGAGGTTCTGAGCTCTGAAAAAAAGCAGGAAGCCCTTTATACTAAATTGCCTTTTTGGAGACACATGAGATATTTTAAGTATATTACAGGAGAAGTTTTATGGTCAAGAAAACAAATTTTGTTTATCCCACCACGTTTTAAACATTTTTGTCCAAAGAACCATTTTTGTTGGTTTGTTTTTAAAGAACACATTAACATCCACAAACCTCACATGGGGAAACATTGATCTTGTTCACCCATCTGCTCCTTGATGTATATAAACAAATGAAATCATTTACCCTAGACTGTCTCCTAAAGTCATTCTACGGCTTCCATAGTAGTGTTGCAAAGCCTATATCATGAGTAAATGCCTTCTAAAATTTATTCTAAATCCTTTATGTTTAAGTTGTAACATCCCATCCATTCTTCTATCCTTCCCAGAAATAAAAAAAATGGAATTCTGATACAAAACCAATCATTGTTATTTATGAAATGCTTATGATGTGCCATAAAAAATTAATACATTGACCTTGCTGGACCAGGAAGCTACAACCATTGTTCAGAATTCCCGTATTTCCCCACCCCTATTTCTTGATATTTATGTGTCTGCTCTTGACCTGAATAACCCTGATCTTTCTGGAGGTAAGTGTATGACAGAAACAAATGGAAGAGAACACACCAGACACCTGCAGTCCCCTGAGGTACCTATTTAGAAGCCTGCAGAGCAGCAGCAAGGTGGGCAGCCTTGGCTAGGCAAGTTGCACATGGAGGCCGTGGACCCCACTAACACAGAGAGCTGAGGCTTGAACTAAGATACCTTCAAGAACTCTACCAACACCTTCCCAAGAAGGAATATCATTTTTTTAAAATCCCACTTTGAGGCTTCTTAAGTAAAACACATGCACAAAAAATGCTTACCTATTTGTTATCAAAATGCTATATCTCAAAAGGAGGGCTAATTGTATTAGGAATCGGATAGAAGATCATCACGGAGGGATGCCTGGGTGGCTCAGCGGTTGAGCCTCTACTTTAGTCTCAGGGCATGATCCGAGAGTCCTGGGATAGAGTCCCCAAGAGGGAGCCCTGCAGGGAGCCTGCTTCTCCCTCTGCCTATGTCTCTGCCTCTCTGTGTGTCTCTCGTGAATAAATAAATAAAATCTTTTTTTTTTAAAAAAAGATAATCACGGAGCATTATTATTAGCTCTGAGTTTCCTGAAGCCAAGCGACAATGGAGTCACGGTTGTTCAAGACACCACCTATTAATGCGAGTAGTCTCAGTTTTGAGGATGGTAGACCGCCCCTACTTTACTCTCTCACCTTTCTCTTCTTTTGTCTCATTGCTTGGTCTGATTTCATGAATTTAAGGCGGTTGCTTCCTTCCCTTTGAGAACGTATTTGACACAAAGAAGATATTTAGTAAAAAAATAGGAAATTTCACTGAGGGGGACACTTGACGGGATGAGCACTGGGTGTTATTCTGTATGTTGGTAAATTGAACACCAATAAAAATTAATTTATTAAAAAAAAAGGAAATTTGAGGACCCATTGACATTTACCTTGTAGCCATCAGACTTCACATGGAAAGGTCCTCTGCATTGGATTTGAACTCACGAACTCTCATAGGTAAATGCCACAGATCCCATTCACCAGATCATTGCAGCAAGCTAAATGATCTTTGGGTTCCTCTTTCGAAATTATCCCCCATGAAATTCTGGAAGTCTTTCCCCCTGTCTTTTCTATTTCTTTCTCCCTCGCAGTCTACTCCACTGACCTTCTTTCAAAAACAGCCAGTTGTTGGATGCATGAACTAAGTAAGATACTTTAAGAACGTCCAGATTTGATTGTTTTGTCTCAAGAAGGTGAAAAAAAGGGTGCTACAATTTCTAAGGAGCCTCCTGGTTTGACTGAGTCTGGTCCCCAGGCAGATTAAGCCAAGGTTTTGGCCAAGTGAAATTGCCAATTCTCTTTAAAAAAACAAAAAGGGTGGGAGGTGCGGAAGGGGGAGGGTAGCGCATTGCTCATTAGAACATTCTGTACTTGCCTGTGCAATCTTTTTGCTACCCTGCAATTTCCTGTTGGTTATAAATGAAACCTTTCTAGCTGTTAATGCAGCCTGTGAATTGAAAAAAAAAAGCCATGTAATTAATCATAGGAGTTGGGGGGATTCACTAAGCCTGAGTTATAGGGGAGAAGCTGGACAAGGCACTAGGACCTAGAAGGCATCTATCCACCCTGGCAGGAATTTCTTGCTTGGAGCTCAGACAACAAAGGCATAGAGAGATTGGTTTTCTTTCTCTCAGCATCTCCACCCAAACAGCAGAAAACCGGTGAGTGGGGCTTTCCAGTGATTTTCAGGCAGAATGTAACAGATGTCAAACGGGAAAAGCATAAGGCAAAGCGCTCGCTCTAGCTATCTCTCTCCTTTTTTTAAAAAAAATTTATTTTGCCTTAATTCTATCGGGTTTTTTCCCTAAGCCTCTACCTGGGATTTTTCTTTGGAAAAGTGAGTTTGCTGTTTCTTTGTTTTCACTGTGATGTTGATTTAGAATTATACCACCCGTGATCCTAAAGCAAAGCCAAGTGTTACTGGCATGCCTGAGGAAATGCTTGCTACTGTCTTTAGGAGGTGGGGTCTCTCACCACTGCAGGTTGTCTGACAGAGACAATGCTGAGCTCAGCATAGGTCATGGTGACATTGGAAGAAAAGAAGGATAGCGCCTGGCAAGCCTTCTAGGCACCAGTCCTCTTTTATGTCCTGTCCTCCTGGTCCCTTGCAAATATCTCGATGTGGCAGTGTGTAGCAGCTGAGCTCTCTTCGCTCTGTGAGTCCTTTTATCTCCATCTGTGAGATGCATGTTAATAGTTAGGTTCCTAGACTGTGGTCACTACCTTGCTAGTGCTCGAAGCTTCTGTTGTGTTTGGTTTCATGTTTTGATTTTTTCTTTATTTCTCATTTTCTTTTCCTTCCTTCTTTCCTTCCTTCCTTCCTTCCTTCCTTCCTTCCTTCCTTCCTCCTTCTTTCTTTTCTTTTCTTTTCTTTTCTTTCTTTTCTTTCTTCTTTCTTTCTTTCTTTCTTTCTTTCTTTCTTTCTTTCTTTCTTCCTCTTCTTTCTTTCCTTTTCTTCTGGTTCAGCAGAAGGGGGAAAAGCAAATCTGACAAATGACCATCTTTTGCCTTAGCTAATGCATCTGGGCAATAGATAAATTTGGGGGTGAACTGCTACTGTGAGAGGGAAAATGCCCCTTCAGTCAGGGTAGAAATCCAGAACAATGAAAGGTGTGCTTGTTTCCAAAGGTCCCATATGCTTTTCAGGAACTCACTTGGGAATCTTTCAACAATTAAATTAGTCCATTAAGAGGTGGGGCTGCCTCACTGGGGAGGGATAGAGCACATATCAAAAAAAAAAAAAAAAAGGAAAGGATTTTGTGACCAAATGGTACCAGAGGGAAAGGAGAGCTAATAACTTGTTAAATAACTGATTTTTCTAATCCTTTTTTCCCCCAGCTTATTACTTATGAATGTTAGATAGCTGCACCAGCTTGATGGGGAAAGGGTCTGATGAATAGCACAAAGACACTAGCTATTCCCTGGAGGCTGTGTCCCTTTAACGGAGAATCCTGGTTTATTGGGGGTGGGGGGTGGGGTGGGGAGGGGATGCATGCATCAGAGTAGGAAAGAGGATTTGGGATAAAATGAAAAACCTTCCCCTCCGAAGTCATATTACTGAGGCACAAAGATTGCTTCCTAAACTGGAGATGCTAACCTCAGCCAGTGCCTTCTATTCTCTTCAAGGCGATTTTTGTCAGGCTATGGATTCATTTACAACTGTTAGTCATGTGGGCATGTGTGAAGAAACAGATGCCAGTTTTAATGTATTTAGCCCGAAGTTACAATTTGATAGGAGCCACTGTCAATAAGTCCCAGGATTTCAAGGGATTTCAAAATCCCTCCCTAGCCCCTGTTTGGAACAGTGCCCAGAGTGCCTCCCTCTCTATCTCTCACCCCAACCCCCACCACCGTCTGCACCTCCCCCAGCCCCTCCTTCTTTCTATTAAGATCAATATTCCTGCAGGTCAGGGGCAAGCAGCAGATGGGTCACGGGCTTTTTCAACCAGTTCTTTTTACAAGCAGCAGATTGCAGAACTGGATCTGGCTAATATTTGAATTCTTTTCTTTTTCTCTCCCCCCCACTCTTCCTCCCCCGTTTCCTTTGCCTCTTTTCACCCCCTTTTGTCCACCACTCAGGTCTCTGAGGTTCCACCAAAATATGGAACTTGATTTTGGACATTTTGACGAAAGAGATAAGACATCCAGGAACATGCGGGGCTCACGGATGAATGGGCTGCCGAGCCCCACTCACAGCGCCCATTGTAGCTTCTACCGAACCCGAACCTTGCAAGCTCTTAGCAACGAGAAGAAAGCCAAGAAGGTACGTTTCTACCGCAATGGGGACCGCTACTTCAAGGGGATTGTGTACGCTGTGTCCTCTGACCGTTTTCGCAGCTTCGATGCCTTGCTGGCTGACCTGACTCGATCTCTGTCTGACAACATCAACTTGCCTCAGGGAGTGCGTTACATTTACACCATTGATGGATCCAGGAAAATCGGAAGCATGGATGAACTGGAGGAAGGTAATTCGAGGGTGTTGGCTCTCCGTGGGGGAGGTGACATTGTTTGCCCTGGTTACATTTCTTGGAGTACTCTGAAAAAGATTAGGGGGTACATTTGTCAGAACACCAGGCTGATGCAGAGACTGCCGAAGCTAGAGGCATGACAGAGCCATTAGCCATTACCCTTCAGGGCCTTCAGTCTCTGCTGGTGTTGGAGTGTGGATAGTGGTGACAATGCATTGTGCTTATCTGCCAGGGTATACAAAGGAAAATCTGAATCGTGTCATTTACTCTAGATCTTGTTCACAATTCATTCTGAGTAGCATTACAGAGGCAGACCATGAACTCGTTAGGGCTATAAAATGAGGAAGGAACTTTGGTTGGATTAACAGTAAGATAGCCAAATATCCTCTGAGCTGCTGAGAGACCATTTGTGAACTGCAAAGCATGGAAATATGTACCCTAAAAGCAGGACTTCCTGGACATATTCACAAAGGATTATACTTTTAGGTAAGTGGTCATTGCTCAGCTGTCACTTCTAAAAAGCCCACTCCAGGGTGTGTCCCTAAGGCTGAGGTCATTGAGAGAAATACCAAAGAAAGCTGTAGGTATGTCTGGTATTTTAATAAAGACTATTCCTATTAGAATAGGAGCTGACTCACTGAACCTAAAGCCCTTTAAAGCCTCTCTAGACTTTGGTTTTATGACTGAATGTTATGACGAGGTTGAAAACCCAGCAACCTGCATACCCACTCAAAAATAAGGGAAGTTACAGCTCTTCCCAAAACTTGCTCATCCATGATGCTTTTTTTGTGGTTATTTAGAAAATACACCTCAGGACACATTCCTAATGTTTTACTTTGTCGAGTCAATTATATTGTGGATGCCTCCCTATGCCCACTTTTAAATGGCTATAATGTAATCAACTGATAATGCAAATGGCCCTCCCCCAGACACCCCCCCCCCCCCGCCCGCTCTAGCCCTACTTCCTCACCCCTTGCATTCCCGGAGCAAAGGTGAGTTTAGAGCAGGCAGATCTCTCGGGAAACCAAATTATGAAACAGCCAACAAGGAATGAGAATCAGCACATTAAATGACTTGGTGTAGGAGTGCCCCGCCTCCGCTTCACTGCTTCCAGGTTTCTTGTGCTCTTAGACAAAGGAGCATGAGGGCTTCCCTTGTGTGAGACCATGTTCTTGCAAGTAGCTGCTGTTTCTAAAGTCAGATCAAGTGATTTGGGGCCAGTTACTTATAAGACATGGTGTCCCTAAGGCTACCAGGTCTGGGTCTCAGGGTTCAAGTCTAAGGTTTTCCTACATAGCTGACCTTGAAAAACAGTGCTGAGAAGGCTTAGAGTATTGGATCACGTTCTGGGTGGCCAGGCAGTGGTTAATCCTAGGCTTTTTCTGAATATTGAAAGGTTGACTATCCTAGCACATGTGTTAAAGGAGAGTAGGAAAAGTAGAAGGACTTAGAGTGAGGTGGAGGGAGCTGTCCAACAGAGTAATTGAGAGGGTATGTGTCCCTTTGTCACCGTGAAATCCATATCTTGGGCCAATTTGAGAGATGTCTCTGTAATAACTTTCATAAACAAAGCACCTTAAATCACCCAATGTGTCCTCATTTTCCTTAGCTGCAATTTTTCAAAGACTGTGACAGATGCCAGGGCAGAATTCTGAACCAAGGGATGCTGTATTCAGAGTAGGAATTAGAATATTCTTGTTTTCGATATAAGAGAGATATCATGTACACATATCCCCCCCAAACCATAAATCCATTTTTAAACATACCTTGCTCAAGGACAAGCCCTTGGTATTCATTTTTTTTCCTGGATGTGTGTGTGTGTTTTGTGATAATATCAGGTCAATATAGATAATAATTATAATTTTGAAGACTGCACCCTTTCACCTGACCCTTTTGAGTCCTGCTAGATTGGATTCCTCCCCTGGGTGCATGGTAATACTTCCTGGGTTATGTAGAATGTAAATAAGGCTCAGTTGCATTTATTCACATATCATCTACAACCACAAGCTGCAGTAGGCCTCAATGCCCTCCCAGGCCTGATTACTGCCCATGCAGTCAAGGAAATTCTGGAGTATCTCTAGGATAGTGTTGAGATATGTGACCAATTTTCCCACTGCCACACAGTCAGATGGTAAAGGGCACTGGGATAAGGAAGATTTAGGAAAAAAAAGGTCTTTTCTCTCCTGTTTTGTCCTTTGGAACTATTCTTCTAGGAATGGAGGACAGAAGTCCCTCACTTTGTTCACCATTGGAGGAGGTCGAATGAAAGACTAAAAACATTCATACCCGAGAGACTTCACACTGGAAAAGTTTGGAAAGATCCCTGATGAAGAATCAGAGGCAGTAGGTTCTAGTCTTAGAGGCAGAAGGTTATTGCAGGAAAAGAAGTCTTTGGAATGAGATTTGTTGCCAATCCAAGATCTGCCGCCTGCTAGCTTGTGTGACCTGGGAGAAACCATTTAGACTCCCTAAGCTTCAGTTTTTCATCTGTAAAGTGAGAACAACTGCTTTGAGGATTGAATAAGACAACGAGTATGAAGTGTTTACTCTTATTCCTGGCGTACAGTAACACTCAGTAAAGGGTATCTACGACTGCTGAGTTGCCTTAGATTCTAAAAACTAGTTAGCTACATGACCATAGGACTGTTGTTATCACTGTGATATTCTCTTTTTAAAACAGCATTTTTAAGGAAAACAGCAATTTTAAGGTCTAATTTGCATAATGTAAAATCAGCCATTTAAGCATACAATTCAATGATTTCTAGAAAATTTACCAAGTAGTACAACCATCATCATAATCTAATTTTAGATCCCTTTATTCACCCCAAAAAGAAACCCTGTGCCAATTAGCTGTCACTGCCCATTTCCCTCATTGTCTCCAACCCTAGGCAACAGCTTACCTACTTTGTGTCTCTACAGATTTGCCTATTACGGACATTTTATATAAGTGGAATCATACACCATGTGGTCTTTTGTGACTGAATACTTTCCCTTAGAAAAATGTTTTCAAGGGTTATTCTTGTTGTACCATGTATCAGCACTTTCTTCCCTTTTATGGGGGGATAATATTCCATTGCATGTATGGACCACATCTTTTGTCTCTGTTGTAATATTCTTATCTGTAGCAAGAGACTAGTAACACTTGGCTTCTTCATCTATCAGGGTGGTTGAGAGGATATAATTAGATAATAAAGAAACATGTTGACAAGGTGAAACTATAGCTATAAGGTACTACTGTTAATAATGTAAAAAAAAAAAAAGGAATAGGGATAATGATGCTAGTCAGGGGTTGGGATGACCAGAGGTTCCCAAGTCTGGCTGCCTTTCAGAAACTTTCAGATATTTAGGAATACCAATTCCTGGGTCACACCCAAGATCTATTGAATCAGAATTTCCAGAGCTAGGGCGGGCCTCAGAATCTGTTTTTATAAATCTTCCCAGGTGATAATTATGAGCACTTAAACTTGAGAAATTCTGGATTAGATGATCCTGATGGTCCCGAACTTTCAGCTAACTACAGTGGTGGGAGTCCCTAGGAGTGCAGCAGGCCTTGTTTTTGTTTTTATTTTTTATTTTTTTGCTCTGTGGATCTTAAAGGAATGATGAAGTAGAAAACATGTTGTTTCCAAATGGCCACTTTGTTAAATATTTAGACTAAACTAAAATGAAATAAACCACAATGGGTTAATAATCACTCTGGCCTGTGACACTCCTTGTCTAATGCCTCTAGTCTACTGTCTGTTGCTAGATGCTGAAAGTCAAAAGGGGAACATTTTGGGCCCAAATCAGGTTATTTATATCAGCTTTCCCACAGCTCCTTGGGTATACAAAGAATCTCAGTGAAGCCATGAAGGCTGTTGTCATAGATGTATCAGTCATCTTCCTAGTGGGTCAATGGATGAAATCCACCAGTGACGTTTCCTTTTGTCTTGCTTTCCATCACAAAATAATTCCCCTTCCCTTCCTGCCCAATTCTTTCCCCTCTTTCTTGTTTGTTAGTCCCCAGGTCAATCTTAGGGGTATTATTTTGAGCACTATTACATGGGCCACAGGACAGATTATTTACAATTGGGACAGTCTTGTTGGAAAATCTGAGTGGAATGGTGGCCCTAGTTATTTATGATCCAGTTCCTTTGCCATAGCTCAATGGAGATGAGATGAGATGACATCACCTTCTTGCTAATTTATCCTGTAGCTTCTAAAGCAGGCACATTGCCAAAGAGAAGGATTTAAAGATACCTGGGAGAGAGATGCATCATTAATACATATGATGATACAATAAAGTATCATTTAGTCTCTTCCTTCTTGAGTGAGGAAGCCTTGGAAAAGAGGAGGAAGCCCAGGCAGGAGTGTCTTTGTGCTGAGAAAACACGAATGCATTTAATGTTTTTGAAAACAGAGCCCTCCTGAAAGTGAAGGGAGATAGACATTAGATCATCTCAAGCCCACAGCTTGTTCCTTTCCTGCCCTTTCAGCTGTGCTTCCATGACTTCATTTCCTTACCCCCTCATCTTGAAGCACATTGTCAGTTCCAGCAAATTGTCACCTTGCTTGGCTCTGAAGCTAGCTTTCCTTCTAGGCTCCCAATGGGTGGGAAATAGTCCCTGGAAGCTTTGGCAGGATGGGAACCCAGCTGTGTAAAGGTGTGTTAACACACCTCATCCAGCTTCCAGTGCCAGGCAGCTGGACTTGCAGGAAGCACGGAGCTCTGGCAGCAGATGTTGCAGACATTTGCAAAAATCAGAACAAGGAAGTCTTGGTCTAGAGAAGCAGCACATTTGATGTCTTTCCAGTAGTACAAGTGGAGAGCCCTCCGTAGTGGGCATCTATTTCTTCAACATTTAATGATCATAACAACTTTACCTCCTACAGCCTTCTGGGGAAAAGAGAAGAAAATTACCTCTTATAGACCTCTAGGACTGGAAGGGACTGAGATGTCAGCTAGTGTAATACCTTCAATTTATAGATGGAAAAGCTGAGACTCAGGGATTAGGTCACACCATTCATAAAGGCCTGACTGGAACTGGAATTCAGGTCTGTCTGACTCTCCGAGCTGCCTCTCTCAACCGCCGTAAATGACCTGCCCTCTGGTAGGGGATGTTTGTTTACAGGGGAGGCTATGCACATGTAGAGACAGAGGTCGTGTGGGAAATCTCTGTACCTTTCCCTTGATTTTGCTGTGAATGCAGAAGAGCCATAAACAAAAAAATAAAGTCTTACAAAATATCCTGCCCTCAGTGTGCATTAGCAGTAGCAGCAAGTGGCTTCGCTGAGTGTTAACCATAGAGCTCCCAAATGTCACATTTTCAGCAACCAGACACCTCCTTTTAAGCAGCAGGAAATCATTATCTTTGAGGCCTGAGACCTGGGCAGTGGTCCTGTTATATAATGACCATAGCTCAGTTCCAAGATGGCTGCCCTTCTTCTTTCTTTTTTCTTTCCTTGGGCTTTTGCTCTCTCTCTTTTCATCTCCTTTCTCTCAACTCTTTCTCCCTCATTTCCTCTCTGCTCTTTTTTTCTTGTTCCCTCTCCATTCATTCAGATTAGGGCCTTAATGATCTGTTAGGTGGAATTTATCAAGTGCTTACCACGCTCTGGGCTCAGTGCTAGATATACAGCATCTGACTCGTACCTCACTCCAACCTTATGAGGTATGTACTGTTATCACCATTCCCACTTCTCAGACAAGTAATCAAAGCCGGGGGGGGGGTGGTTAGGTAACTTGCCCATGACACACAACTAGGTATCGAAGACCCCATTCTGACTGACATCACATCAGCTGTTCTTTTTCCATTACTCTATATTGGGCCAAAAGGAGAGAGTAGAGACTAAAATGTACTGTTGGAAGGTGCTCAACATAGATTTGGCCGAGAGCTGGGCCCTCTGGAAAGTTCTTGGTGCCATATGATACTATAGCTGTCTGCCATCATGTTCATTCTCATCTGGGGGTGGTTAATCATACTCATAGTTCAGAGGCTTAAGAGGTTTAAGGGATGGGAGCAAAATAAGTCCAGAGTCCTAATAGGGCTACACAGCTGACTCTCCAGAGGAGACTGTAGATGAGTGAAATCATAAATATATAGCCTCACACATTTCTACACCACCAGTTGTCAGAGTTTTAAAGTACTTGACAAGTTATGGAAAACACCTGACTCAAAGGAACTAACCTCTTGGAAGGTACCTATGAATCTAGTGGAGTGCTAAGGCAAGGGACCATATTTAGGGTGTAGAGGAGATTGACTGTGAATAGATAGGGGAATTGAAAGGGCTCCTTCACCATTTTAAGTCACAAGTTAAAGACCCTAGCCTTTAATCACTCGGGTTAGGTTGGATTAGCCAGCAAAAGAGCCAGAGAAATTAGGGTTTCTTTTGGCTGAGTTCTTTGACTACTCCATCTGGGGTGTGTGTGTGTGTGTTTGCACCAAGTGGGAGAGGATGCCCATGTTCACCTACAAACCATCCCTTGGTCCCCCTGTCGAGATAGAACACTGACAGCCTCTGGGACTCAGGGCACTGTTGGAAGCCACTCACCCTTCCCCTTCACACATACACATAAATGTCCTCAAATGTGCCCTAGAGAATCTGACAGAATCTTTTTCTCAGCACTGAGAAATTTATTAACATGACTTAAAGGATTTGGTGCTACAGCAAAGCAATCAATGTTTGCCAAAGGAGTGAATGATCAACCCGGTGTTTCTGATATGTCCCTGTGTGGTTCTCCTGCTGAGACCAAAAGAAGAGCCATCAGACTATGATTGTGTTTAATGCTTTCTTTGCCCTGGCCTGGGTTGACTTATTTATTTAGAGTTATTACTGATGAGTTAAGCCTGATTAACTCCCTCTAGTTTTCTCCAGCTCCACCTCTGGATGAACTTCTGTATACCTTGAGGCTACTGTGTTTTGCATAACAAATTCAACCTTTTCCAATACTCTCTCCCCTAGGCTGAGCCTACCTCTCTTCCTCTTTTCTCCAGCTTCTAGTCCCAGGTGTCTAATCCCCCCCCCTGCCCCTTGCCTCTGGCCCCTGTGTTTTTTCCGCTGTATTAGTCATTTCCTCTAGCTCAAGGTAAACGTGAAAATTATGCTAGATTTCTCCAATCCATAAATCTGGCTGTCTAATGTATTCTCACATCTCCACCTCATTACTTGTGGCAGCCAAGGGTGATCCCTAGTGAAGATGGCCTTGAACACATACATCTAGTATGTAGCATTTAGGAAAATGGAAAGATGAGGGGTGAGTGGTGGAAACCGAGGAAAGTATTTCTCAAGCAACAGCTAGATTTGCAAACACAAGCGGTGGACTGTGTGTGTGTGTGTGTGTGTGCACGTTGTTATTCAGTTTTTCCACTTGGGTGTGGGGTTGAGCAGTAGAGGACAGAGTTATACATTCACAACATATATATTCACCACACACACACACACACACACATACATGCACACACACATTTCATATTTTGGCATTCCACTGCTTAGCCATATACTCTGTGCAAAGGACAGTCTGGCTTCTTGGAAAATATGTACTGTGTGCCCAATATGCAAGGACACTGGGGTCACTTTAACTTGGAATAAAGTATATTAATTGTAAAGTTCTCCTTGGTTTATAATATAATCATGGAATGGGGCCAGAAATGGGACAGGAAGATTAAGAAATAGAGACATGTTAAAAACACTCCACTAATGCCCCCTAGATATTAACAAACATCCGAGAAATTGACATAGGCATTTCCATTGAAGTAAAATCTTATGAAGGCTAAGAACCCTGCTTGTTAGGTTATATTTAGATGTGTTCATTGTCCTTGAAATCCTTAGCTTTAGAGGATTTTTTCAACTTAGGTATGCCATCATAATGAAGAATGTTTTGCCGATGACTTGCTCTTGACTTTGAATGAACCAAGTTGTTAGGGGGAGAGCCCAGTTAGAAGTTGTGCCTACAGTTGGTTACTATCACTGTATTTCCAAAAGTCTTACGCCAAGGTCAGCATGTGCTAGTTTGGTTAGAATAGTTCATGAATCTACTCTTGAACTAATTACCACGTATTTCTTCCCGTAGGGGAAAGCTATGTTTGTTCCTCAGACAACTTCTTTAAAAAGGTGGAGTACACCAAGAATGTCAATCCCAACTGGTCTGTCAATGTGAAAACATCTGCCAATATGAAAGCCCCCCAATCCCTGGCAAGCAGCAATAGTGCCCAGGCCAGAGAGAACAAGGACTTTGTGCGCCCCAAGCTAGTGACGATCATCCGCAGTGGGGTGAAGCCTCGGAAGGCCGTACGTGTGCTGCTGAACAAGAAGACGGCTCACTCTTTTGAGCAAGTCCTCACCGATATCACTGAAGCCATCAAGCTGGAGACTGGGGTTGTCAAAAAACTCTACACTCTGGATGGAAAACAGGTAAGTAGTTTTTTTGTTGTTTTAATAAAAGTACCTGTCTTTTCAGTTATTCTAAATACCTGGATGCCCATGCTGTCCCTGAGGCATCATTTCCAGTTGGGGGACTCTTCCTCTACCTCTCATCATCCCTACCTGTTATTTTATGTCTCACTGGGAAGAAAGGTCTTTTCAGCAGACAAAACAATCCACCAGAAATCTGAGGCTTTGAAATTCAATCTGCTTCTGTCGTATCAAGGAGAATGGTCACTTAGCCTCAGCTTTCTTATCTGCTAAGTAAAGGACTGAGTACCTAGGTCTTACACATTCTCATGAATATGAATTCATCTATGAAGTGATGCAACCTTGATTGTTCAGTGCATGTCACTCGAAGTGAGATTTGTGGGCTCCTTTCTTAGGTGGCCTGATGTTGGTGTTCAGTGTCCATTCTGGTGAAAAGAGGTTGAGGTAATCCCTCATATTCTGAGAGGACTCAGATACAGGGGAAGAACTAATGTCTCTGGTTCGCTGTCTTTGCCTCGCACTAGACCACGTTTTTTCTTTCTCTCTTTTCCATGTGACGTAGCTGTCTGAATTTGGTTCCACTGATGGTTTTGTGTGAGAAAGGGACTATTTCAAGATCCTAAAATTAGCCCAAGAAAGACGCTGCCATCTGTTCCTCTCCAAATCAGGTTCTTCATGTCATTGGTTATGCTACTTAAGTGCCACCTGTATTAATATCTGGGAAAGAATGCAGCCAGGCATCTCCATCAGACAGATGCACCATTCTCTTGAGCATAGGGAGCTGTAAATGTATGACAAAATACTTCCAAAGGACTTGAACAGTGGCTGGTTCTGTTGGCTCTAAAGGGAATCCTGGTCCCCCATCAGCAAAGACAACTGTGAGTTATTATCAGTCCATACTTTCTACTCCTTAAAATACCTTTGGTGTTTGAACAACTATATAGATTCTAAAAAAGTGACTGATGAGTGTTCAAATGCAGAACTATGCCTCCTCCCATAATTTCTGACATATACCGTGTGCCTCAAGAATTTAAATTTCTGGTAAAACCTAAACTCATGGATGTGGGAACTTTTCTAAATTTGGGACTTTTATCTGTTCTTCATTTTGTGATGTGAGTGTCACCTGGAGGCATTGGTTATACATGATGTGTGTTGGTTGTACCAAAGCCTGGAGTTTACTTGCAATGGGAAAAGTCCCAACTCCCAATCATCTCTCAAAGAGTATCTCTTTCCTGAGAACCAAGTACATAAGAAACAGGCGCTTCCCAGGAATAGTCTTTTTTTTTTTTTTTTTTATGGGCACCACCTGGGCTAGCCAGAACCTGGCGGAGCTCTTCCCAAAGAGTGGGATGGACCTCCAGTGCGTGACTTTAAGTGGGCCAGGGAGTGAATCAGTCACTTAAAAAAAAAAAAAGATTTTATTTACTTATTCATGAGAGACAGAGAGAGAGAGAGAGGCAGAGACACAGGCAGAAGGAGAAGCAGGCTCCATGCAGGGAGCCCGACGTGGGACACGATCCTGGGTCTCCAGGATTACGCACTAGGCTGTAGGCAGCACTTAACCGCTGAGCCACCAGGGCTGCCCCCCAGGAATAGTCTTAATCACTGGAACTTTCAGCTCAGAAAAACAGAACCTAGGAATTTTAGGAGCATTGACAGTGACCTGAGAAGTCATGACGTTTAATCTCCCACCTATGGCAGCGATATACTCTACAACCATTTCAGTGTTATGAGACAGCCTATTACACTGTTGAAAAGCTGTGAGTTTTAGAAAGATTTTCCTTATTTTGGGCATAAGTTCCCTTCCCTAATTCATTCAGCCTCTTGAAGTAATGCATGACAAATATGAATCAAGGGCATAAGACTGGGAATCAGAAGACCTGGTTTCTAGTCTTAATATTGCAACTTACTGTGTGACCTTGGGCTAATCACTTAATTATCCAAAGCCTCCTGCTTCTTCATACAAAGGGGCTGATCACACCTGCCCTACCCATGCTCACAGGATTCTCCTGAAGATCAAAAGAAATAATGGATATGAAAGCACTCTAAATTAGAACATAAGATGTAAATATGTATGCATACAATTCATCATTAAATGAGACAAAATATGTAAATTGCCTTTACATGTATATCAGTAAATGATAGCTCTTTTCCTTCCACTTTCCCTCCATCAGTCTTAGCATGAGTTTCCAACATTTTGTGGAGATAAACTACATTTCGGTATGCTGGGATTGCTCTTTTTTTTCTTTATATTTTTTAAATAATAAATTTATTTTTTAATGGTGTTCAATTTGCCAACATACAGAATAACACCCAGTGCTCATCCCGTCAAGTGCCCCCCTCAGTGCCCATCACCCATTCACCCCCACCCCCCGCCCTCCTCCCCTTCCACCACCCCTACTTCGTTTCCCAGAGTTAGGAGTCTTTATGTTCTGTGTCCCTTTCTGATATTTCCCACACATTTCTTCTCCCTTCCCTTATATTCCCTTTCACTATTATTTATATTCCTCAAATGAATGAGAAAATATAATGTTTGTCCTTCTCTGATTGACTTATTTCACTCAGCATAATATCCTCCAGTTCCATCCACATTGAAGCAAATGGTGGATATTTGTCGTTTCTAATGGCTGAGTAATATTCCATTGTATACATAGACCACATCTTCTTTATCCATTCATCTTTCAATGGACACCGAGGCTCCTTCCACAGTTTGGCTATTGTGGACATTGCTGCTATAAACATTGGGGTGCAGGTGTCCCGGCGTTTCATTGCATCTGCATCTTTGGGGTAAATCCCCAACAGTGCAATTGCTGGGTCGTAGGGCAGGTCTATTTTTAACTCTTTGAGGAACCTCCACACAGTTTTCCAGAGTGGCTGCACCAGTTCACATTCCCTCCAACAGTGTAAGAGGGTTCCCTTTTCTCCGCATCCTCTCCAACATTTGTGGTTTCCTGCCTTGTTAATTTTCCCCATTCTCACTGGTGTGAGGTGGTATCTCATTGTGGTCTTGATTTGTATTTTCCTGATGGCAAGTGATGCAGAGCATTTTCTCATGTGCATGTTGGCCATGTCTATGTCTTCCTCTGTGAGATTTCTCTTCATCTCTTTTGCCCATTTGGTTATACATGATTGGATTGTTTGTTTCTTTGGTGTTGAGTTTAATAAGTTCTTTATAGATCTTGGAAACTAGTCCTTTATCTGATATGTCATTTGCAAATATCTTCTCTCATTCTGTAGGTTGTCTTTTAGTTTTGTGGACTGTATCCTTTGCTGTGCAAAAGCTTCTTATCTTGATGAAGTCCCAATAGTTCATTTTTGCTTTTGTTTCTTTTGCCTTCGTGGATGTATCTTGCAAGAAGTTACTGTGGCTGAGTTCAAAAAGGGTGTTGTCTGTGTTTTCCTCTAGGATTTTGATGGAATCTTGTCTCACATTTAGATCTTTCATCCATTTTGAGTTTATCTTTGTGTATGGTGCAAGGGTGTGGTCTAGTTTCATTCTTCTGCATGTGGATGTCCAATTTTCCCAGCACCATTTATTGAAGAGACTGTCTTTCTTCCAGTGGATAGTCTTTCCTCCTTTATCGAATATTAGTTGACCATAAACTTCAGGGTCCACTTCTGGGTTCTCTATTCTGTTCCATTGATCTATGTGTCTGTTTTTGTGCCAGTACCACACTGTCTTGATGACCACAGCTTTGTAGTACAACCTGAAATCTGGCATTGTGATGCCCCCAGCTATGGTTTTCTTTTTTAAAATTCTCCTGGCTATTCGGGGTCTTTTCTGATTCTACACAAATCTTAAAATAATTTGTTCTAACTCTCTGAAGAAAGTACATGGTATTTTGATAGGGATTGCATTAAACGTGTAAATTGCCCTGGGTAACATTGACATTTTCACAATATTAATTCTGCCAATCCATGAGTATGGAATATTTTTCCATCTCTTTGTGTCTTCCTCAATTGCTTTCAGAAGTGTTCTATAGTTTTTAGGGTATAGATCCTTTATGTCTTTGGTTAGGTTTATTCCTAGGTATCTTATGCTTTTGGGTACAATTGTAAATGGGATTGACTCCTTAATTTCTCTTTCTTCAGTCTCATTGTTAGTGTATAGGAATGCCACTGACTTCTGAGCATTGATTTTGTATCCTGCCACGCTGCCAAATTTCTGTATGAGTTCTAGCAATCTTGGGGTGGAGGCTTTTGGGTTTTCTATGTAGAGTATCATGTCATTGGTGAAGAGGGAGAGTTTGACTTCTTCTTTGCCAATTTGAATGCCTTTAATGTCTTTTTGTTGTCTGATTGCTGAGGCTAGGACTTCCAGTACTATGTTGAATAGCAGTGGTGGAGTGGACATCCCTGTCTTGTTCCTGATCTTAGGGGAAAGGCTCCCAGTGCTTCCCCATTGAGAATGATATTTGCTGTGGGCTTTTCATAGATGGCTTTTAAGATGTTGAGGAATGTTCCCTCTATCCCTACACTCTGAAGAGTTTTGATCAGGAATGGATGCTGTATTTTGTCAAATGCTTTCTCTGCATCTAATGAGAGGATCATATGGTTCTTGGTTTTTCTCTTGCTGATATGATGAATCACATTGATTGTTTTATGAGTGTTGAACCAGCCTTGTGTCCCGGGGATAAATCCTACTTGGTCATGGTGAATAATTTTCTTAATGTACTATTGGATCCTATTGGCTAGTATTTTGTTGAGAATTTTTGCATGGGATTGCTCTTAATGATAAATAAAGCATCACCTCTACCTCCCAGGTGAGCAGGCTTCAGTCCAGTGATGGGTGGATTTTTATCCTACAACAGGCCACACAGAACAGCATGTTTTCTTTAACTCCTTCAAGCATTGGCTCCCATTTCTTTGGGGAACACATTACAAAATGCCAGTGTATGACACAGTGTGTCTATAGAAACATCGAGGAGCAGTGCTCAGGCATTAGTGCCACTCTATACAATTCATTCTCTTTAAAATGTCTCCCTTTGGGGGCACCTGGG